GAGAAACTGATAAGAAATGAATCAGTGAAGAAATGTAATAGGGGCTAGTTACTTAGAGCTTTATAGGTAAAGGTTTGTATTTTGAATTGACACCTAGAAGATACAGAAAGCCAATGTAAGGATCGATGTAGGGTTGAGGTATGGGAGGAACAAAAGGAGAGAAAGATCAGCCTGGCAGCAGCATTCAATACAAATTGTAGTGGGGTAGTATGGCTTTTGAGGAGACCAATTAGGAGGGAATTACAGTAATCCATGCAAGAGATTACTAGAGCATGAGCAAGCTCCTTGGCAGCATCTTGCATAAGAAAAGGGCGGATCCAGTCTATGTTTTAAATGTGGAATCCACAGGTTTTAGGACATTTTGCTCTGTTTAATGTGTATCGTCTTTTCTAGTTACTGATAATTATGAAGTTGTAAAACGACATTCATAGAAACCCCACTTTATTTATTTTTTTAAAACACCTTCATGACAAGTCTTATCAGTATTCTTAAACCTTTGAAGGTCCATTATTATCTGCTACATACATTCTTTACTAGACTCTTCTACATTCAGCCCTTGCTGAATATTTTCTTGAAATTTCTCTGCAGAAGAATTCATGCAGTTCATCTCTGGATGCTGGTGGCACACATCATCCGTCTTTCACATGCATGATCCAGATGCAGACAGACATTCGTTATTATTTATATAGCGCCAGCAAATTCCGTAGCGCTGTACAATGGGTGTACTAACAGACACGTAATATTCATTCATGAACATTTAACTTTATACATAAAATTAAATCTGTATGTCTCAAACACAGGAAATGTATAGTGCTTTACTTGAAGACAGAGTATGAAGATATGGTCAATGTTGCTCAACGTTGGTAGCAATAACAACCCCAACTATAGTTTTCTGGGGAAAACGAGTGATCAAGGACCATTTCAACACACAATTAAGCAAAATAAACAGCATCCTGCTGTAAACAATGAACATATACTGAAAAGTTTGTGTTTTCATAATTATAGAATTCAATTTTATTTAAAATAGAACAGTTTTACATTTAAAATAGTTAATTGTGGGGGTCGGAAGTCAACCGCCAAACGGATCAGACGCATCTAGTCTGAGCTCCAGCGCCTAGACTAAATTTTCGGAGCCAACTCTGTACCACCAGCACTCACTAACCCACAAAGGTGCTCAAACTACCCACAAGCTACAGACGAACACGAAGGTACCAGCATCGACCCAGCACGGTACCAGAGTAACCCGATCGAGGTTTGAGGCCTACCGGGCTTGAGCTGGGAAGAGACGGCCGCTCTCCCAGGTCTCCGAACGGCGTTTGGCTGCCCTCCCCCACCTTGGACCTTGGGGGGTGCCTTGGGAGGGGGCGCCGCCAGGAGCACCGACCCCCCTCATGCTGCAGCCGCCCGAGCGCTCTGTAGGGAGCCTCAGGCGGCTGCAGCTTTGCCCGTACGGGCGCAGCCTGAGGAGAGGGGCTGACAGGAGGGAAGTGCTCAGCGCTCCCTCCTGTCACTCCCTCACTGTAGCGTGGCCGAGCCCTGTATCATGGTCTGCGGGTACAGGGAGCATCTGTCTCCTGTACCCGGCCGGACTAACAGGAACACTAACACACTGAGTGAGCACTTCCTGTTAGTCCGGCCGGGTACAGAAACAAAAAACTCCCTGTACCCATGGTTTACAAGCAAACCCTTCTTAGTGTGAGGAGAGAAATTGGGAGGGAGAAAGAAAAGAAATTTGGAGGGAAAGGAAATTGGAGGGGGATAAAGAAATTGGAGAGGTGGGGGATGGGTATAAAGAATTTGGAGAGGGGGGGATAAAGAAATTGGAGAGGGGGGATGGAGAAAGAAATTGGAGAAGGGGGATAAAGAAAGAAATTGAGAGGGGGAGAAGGAAATTGGAGGGGGGGAGAGATTGACATTCATCACACACAATGCACCCCTTGCACACAGAAAAACACAATGCATTACACACACAGACACACATACACAAGCAATGCAACCGTTACACACACAGAAACACACAATGCATTCATTACACACGCTCAATGCACCCCTTACAGACGCACACACTGCATCCCGTACATACACAGAAAGACACCTTGCAGCCCTTACACATACAAAACACAGATTCACACAATGCATTCCTTACACACATCAGGACATCCCCTACACACTCCACCCCCTGTGAACAAACTCATTGGTGGAACATGAAGGTGGACCCTGGACCCAGACCTTGAGCTGTGTAAAGGGCCCCAAATAATGGAGCTACTTCCCGTTCTCCCAGAACATTGATTTTTGTGACCACAGTTACAAACCACCTCCAGAGAGCCTGTTCTACACCAGACCAGTGGAGCCAGACTGCAGCTTGAGCCCATCATCATCCTCATCTGGTTGTAATTAGGCAATCTAGTATATTATTCGTGGCACTAAGCTCTAATTTACCTCACATTAAAAACAATATAGTCCCCAGAACCACTGCAGCTTAATGTAGTGGTTCTGGTGTCTATAGCCTGTCCCTGCAGGCCTTTTAATGTAAACATGGCAGCACTGCAGCACTGGCGTTAGTTAACATGGCAGATCATATGGGTGGGGCATTGTGATGTCACATGGGGGGGCGGCAAAACTTTGCCTAGGGCGGCAAAAATCCTTGCACCGGCCCTGGGTGGAGGGGGCTGTGTGAGCTGTGGCAGCACAATGTGCCCCATGGTAGTTAGGGTGCCGTGCGGCCAGTACAGCTCACACAAGCAAACAGCTGATAAACCGGCGGCACGGAGGAAAAGTGGGGTGGAGCTAAGCAAAATGGGGCAGAGCCAAACTGGCACTGGGGGCGGGGCTTAATGTGGCCCTTACCCACTGCTGTTAGGAGGTGCAGCAAGATGGAATCTCTGCTTCTCCACAGGCTTCAGAGAAGGACTTCAGGGAATCCAGTCCTCCTCCATCCCACTGTCTGTAAGTAAGAGTGTGTGTCTGTGTGTGTGTGAGACTGTCTGTGTGTGTGTATGTGTGTGTGCGTGTGACTGTCTGCCTGTAACTGTGTGTGACTGTCTGCCTGTAAATGTGTGTGTGGGGCTGCAGGGATTTTGTAGAAGGGACAGGAGTCTTTATAAGGGGGGATAAGCAGGGGATTTGTTGAAGGGGGTTGCGGGGGTTTTGTAGACGGGGCAGTACAGGATTTGTAGAAGGGGCAGGACAGAGGTTTTGTAGGAGGGGCGGGGCAGGACAAGAGTTTTGTAGAAGGGGCTGACAGCGGTTTTGCAAAGTTTACAAATTGTAAAAAAAAAAAAGAAAGAAAACCTTTAAGCAGGGGGTGCCCCGGGTGCCAAATGCTCTAGGTACGCCCCTGGTGGGGGTTATCCCGGTCCACACTGGCGACCACGATCAGAGTCCGCCAGGCCCAAACATCGGGCATCAACTAAGCCGCGAAGTGCGGACCAGAAGGCTCACCTCAAGATGGAGGAGCATCCATGGCCACGTGTGAGGGCAAAGACAGAGCCGACACGCAAAACGAGCCAGTCTACCACACAGCACCATCTTGCTAATCGTAATGGCCCCCACGACGGGCTAGCTGACCACCTAGGGCAGAAAAAAACTACCATCTAACCAGGGAATCGGCTAGCTTGAGACTCTACACCTACACCTGTGGTGTTGGCTGATATCCGCACCCACAGGGATACCAGCTAGCACATATGACTACACACGCAAAAACCTAGACGACCACCCCCCATTATGCTATAAACACCAGACATAAAGGAAGCCGCAACACTCACCTGGCACTAACATAACTAGGCCCCCACATCTGCTACACCAGCTAACAGATCCGCCAAGGGGAGCAATAAGCTTGAGCCCCCGCTCAGTGCCCGTGGCAACCCAAGCCTGCAGCCCAACCAAACAACCCAATCAACAAACAAGTACCTTTACACTATCGCATATCCAGCCTGCAAAGATTATGCCCCACAAGGTACATGCAGAGGTGCAACCACACTATGTCAAAATAAATGTGACCTATCTAGTATGTAACTCAGTAATTCAAGCAGTTTATCCATGTTTTATCTGTTACATCTGTTATATCTGTATTACTTGACCAACTCATGCTATGACTATACAATTTCAAACATGTTACTCATAATATAAAGTAGTGCATGTTAAATCTATTACCCTGTATGTTAAGCGAGCTAAGAAGCCAGAGGATTGCCGTCGAGGTACCTCAGGCACGTATGTACTCACCTTATGCACTACAAAAATATTAATTAAATTTAAAAAACAAACAAAAAAAAAAAAAAACACAAAGTTAATTGTGTCATCTGTGACATTGGCAAAAGGAAAAAGATAAAGAATTGGGATCGACCGATATTGATTTTTTAGAGCTGATACCGATACCGATATTCTGTGAACTTTCAGGCCGATAGCCGATATAATTTGCCGATATTCTGTACATTTACCATTTTGGAAAATAAAAACTATTTCTAAAGATAAATGCACAAAATATACATGCCACATGTAGTGGATGCAGTGTGTTTAGACAGGGGAGCTGTGTGTGTTTGTGTAGTGTGTGTAGTGGATGCATTGTGTGTTTGTGTAGTGTGTGTGTGTAGTGGATGCATTGTGTGTGTGTTTGTGTAGTGTGTGTTGAGGATGCAATGTGTGTTTGTGTAGTGGATGCAGTGTGTATTTGTCTAGTGTGTGTAGTGGATGCAGTGTGTATTAGTGTAGTGTGTATGTAATGAAAGCAGAGTGTTTGTGTAGTGTGTGGGTAGTGTGCGTAAAGTGAATGCTGTATATACTAAATGCAAAGTGTGTGTGTATATAATGAATGCAGAGTGTGTGTATTTGTGTAGTGTGTGTATAGTGAATGTAGTGTGTTTATATAATGCAGTGTGTGTGTTTGTATAGTGTGTGTATATAATGCAGTGTGTTTGTGTAGTGTGCATTATATAAACACACTACACAAACACACTGCATTATATACACCCACTATGCAAACACACTACATTATATAAACACACTACACAAACACACACTGCATTATATACACAGTGTGTTTGTGTAGTGTGGGTGTATATAATGCAGTGTGTGTATATAATGTAGTGTGTGTGTATATAAAATGCAGTGTGTGTGTAGTGTGTGTTTGTATAGTGTGTGTATATAATGCAGTGTGTGTGTATGTGTTTGTATAGTGTGTATATTTGTGTGCATTGTATACATACACACTATACAAACACACTGCATTATATACACACACACTATACGGGCAGCAAGCGCTTACTCACCTCCCAGCAGCTCCTCCAGCTCCCCAGTGTAAGTCTCGCAGCCAGCGTGCCGTGCGGAGCGTTGCCATGGTAACGCTCTGACGGCCACGGGTCTCGCGAGACTTACACAGGGGAGCTGGAGGAGCTGCTGGGATGTGAGTAAGCGCTGGCTGCCCGCCCCCCAGGACCGTCGGGCTTGTAATGAGCCTGGCAGTCTTAGGAGGTATTATCGGCAATATCGGTATCTGAATTGGCCGATACCGATATTGCCAAAAAATACCGAATATCGGCCGATTATATCGGTAAAACCGATAATCGGTCGATCCCTAATAAAGAAGTGTAAAAAGTTGTGTCACAATCATTTTAATGCAGAAAAATAAACAGGGAAGTTTATATCAAACAAAAATAGGTATAGATGAAAAATGCTAGTGTTATCAATGTACAGAAATAGAATAGGTACTAATTAAAGGGAATTGTCACTTCCCTGGATTTGTAATATTAGGTTTACTTTTACCTTATATTTAAACAGTTTTTCACTAAACTCCTTATTGAAGCGAATTAAAATCCAAAAATGTAGTAAAAAATTATTTTTTTTTTTTTTAATTCTTACATAATTACAATTTGGCAAATTTTACCTGAATTCTGAAATTAAAGCAACACTCCTACATTAGGAATACAAGCACGTATTCCTAATGTTAGTGATTCAGGGGCATTTGAAAGAATGAAATTCCAATCTGATTCATGCCGCAGCTGAATCTTGCAGCCGCTTAGTAGATAGTCCCTTAATTCCCACAGTATTAGGGAGCTATCTACTAAAAAGGTGAAATACTAAAATTGGTCTCTCAGCCACCTTTACTAATAGTAAGTGAAAATGACTTAGTATTAATAAATAAGGCAGTTTAACATCTCCCTCCTGCCCCTACTTGCTATGCCGCGAGTAGGTGCATGTCCATGACCCTTAGCATAGTATTATAGTGTCCGCCATCCCCCCCACCTTCGGCCCCACTCGTGTACGGCGAGTGTGGGCTATAAAACTAAACTGGGGACCTATTGTCCTCCCTCAGCCCCCTTAAGTGACAAAAGAGGGGGTGGGGAAGACGCCTACTGTCTGTCCCGCCCCCTGGCCCCCATCCATGAGCGGCAGGTGGGCCGTGAGTGACAAAAGGGGAGGGGAGATAGAAAAGATAATGGATGCTGCACTCTTCAAGATTACAGGGTGCTCGGGACCGGAGGACGGCCAGGTCTCACTTCCAGATAGAGAAAATAAATATTGATCCAGGCACTCTAGACAAAATAGCAAGCTTGACAAAGACACTGCTGGGAGGAAACATTGCTGTTTTGCTCTAAATCAATATTTATTTTCTATAAAAGGGAAGGTGGGACCTACTGTCTCCCCTTCACTCATGGCAAAAGGGGAGAGGGGAACTTATTGTTTCCAACCTCCTTGCCCCCACCCATAAGCAGCAGGGGGCCCTAAATGACAAAAGTGGAAGAGGGGACCTACTGTCTACCCCTCTCGGCACCAACCTGTGAGCTGCGGTGGGGGGGGGAGCACTTAACTAACATCTGTAAATCTGTAAATAACAAAACATGATGTTATTTAGTTAATTATTAATCTAAAGAATACATGTCAAAACTCGGAATAAAACCACACATGAAAATTACCTTGAGCTTCCAGAACTTGCACTACAGCATGAGTGTCAAAGTAGAATGTCTTCCCAGCTCCCAAATATATGTTCCTTTTATCAAAATCCTGTTGTGTTTCTGGAACTAACATGCTAATTCCTAACAAAAAAAACAAATTAAAACAAATTAAAACAAGTCATAGGATTTGGGAAGCAAAAGAGAAAAGAGGGTTTGCACTCAGCCATAAAAATCACAGGGTGCTAACTGAGCATGGGTCAGCATACCCCATCAATCAGAAATAAAAAGAAAAAATTTTAGGCATCAAAAGAAGGATAGGATTTGTACGAGCTTGTTTGTATTACCTACGCACTGCAAAAATAAAGAATAAAAAAATAAATAAAAAAAAAGAAGGATAGGATTTTGGAAGGTTGCAATACACTTTGCATTATCAATGTTCAGAAACTAAAAAAAGTCAGAAACTGGGCTGTAGAAAGCAAATCATTCAAGCACCAAGACATTAGCAGAAGATCCTTTAAGCCCAGCAAGTTGCGAGGTGGGCCTAAATGGATTGGATTTGTTGTTTCAGCACACCCCACAGATACTGAAATTTTGAATAAAAAATAAAAGTTTAACACTCACCTTATTTCCAGCGCCGCGCGGGTGTCAGTGAGCTTGTACTTAGTGTGCGTGTGTGTGTCAATGAACTTTTATTTATTGAGCATGTGTGTGTCAGTAAACTTGTATTTAGTGAGCTTGCCTGTAGTAAGCTTGTGTGCCACTGAGGTGGTCTGTAGTGAGCCTTGAGTGTCTATCCTAGTGAGTTTGTCTGTAGTAAGCTTGAGAAGGGCTTACTAAGGAACTATTATACTCACCAAAACAATTACATTAAAGCGGCACTGTCATGCCGAATCCTGTTTTTTTTTTTTTAAACCCCCCTCCCGCCTCCACTACATCCAATTGGCCCACTAGTCACCCCCAAATACCCTTAAACCCTCCAGATTACCTCTTTTTAAATCTTTATTTTCTGCCCCGATCTTTATTCAGGGCGCCGCCATCTTTGTGTGGGTAGGTGAAGTCCCTCTGGGACACGTCATCTGCCCACACTAGACAGACTGTGAGATTCCCGCACATGCCCAGTGAAACACCTGGACATGCGAACGGGAATTTCATCTATTCATTCATTCATCAGACAGACGAATGAGTGAATAGAAATATCAGCCGAACAAACTAACACAATGTATCAGTGTTAGTTTGTTCGTTTAGTTTATTACAAGGAGGGAGCTACCGGCACGCAGCTCCCTCCTTGTAATATGTAAAGATAGAAGCGGCAGGGAGCAGTGCTCCCCGCCACTTCATAAGCCCCCCCAGGTCCCCCTCTCACTCTATGGGGGTCAATATGACCCCCATAATAGCACAAGGGAGATTAAAAACTCCCAAATGCCCCTACTCGCTATACCGCGAGTAGGGGCATGTCTACTAAACAGTGAGCACTCTGCTCACTGTTGAAATTTTTTTACATAAATTACAATAAGGGGGGGGCGGACGTATTGTCCTCCCCCCCTCCCCCACCCTGAGCGGCGGGTGGGGGCCATGAAGATAATGAAGGGGGGACCTACTGTCCTCCCCCCCAGCCCCCACCCCTGTGCGGTGGGTGGGGGCCCTTATAAAACAATAAGGGGGGGGGGGTAAGAATGAAATTCCAATCTGATATCCATCATACCCGTCGCACTTAAAAAAATAAATAAATAAATAAAGCGCAAAAAAAAAATAAAAAAATTAATCCATGTTCGCCCTTCGAGGGCACGCCGCGTCCTGAGCTCCGCAGGGCGGGTCAAGGCTTATAAAGCCTCGCCCCGCCCTGCAATTAGGCTTAGAACACTCTGATTGGTGGGTTTAAGCCAATCAGAGTGTTATGAGTCATTTTACACAGCGTGGGAAAGTTCTTTAGAATTTTCCCACGCTGTGTAAAATGACACAGAGCACTCTGATCGGCTTAAACTGTAGCCCCCCCCTTATTGTTTTATTGGGGCCCCCACCCACCACGCAGGGGTGGGGGCCAGGAGGGGAGGACAGTAGGTCCCCCCACCTTGTTTTATTAGGGCCCCCACCCACCGCTCAGGGGTGGGGGCCTGGTGGGGGAAGACACTAGGTCCCCCCATTATTGTTTTATTAGGGCCCCCACCCACCGCGCAGGGGTGGGGGCCAGGGGGGGGACAGTAGGTCCCCCCCATCTTTATTTAGGGCCCCCACCCACCGCTCAGAGGTGGGGGCCAGTAGGTCCCCCCCATCTTTATTTAGGGCCCCCACGGGCAGGGGGGGGGGTTATTAGTTTTTTGTTTTTTTTATATATATATAGCGAGTAGGGGCATATTATTTACTAATACTAAGTAATCTTTACTTAGTATTAGTAAATTTGTCTGAAAGACCAATTTAGGTCTTTCAGCCTTTTAGTAGATAACTCCCTAATACCGTGGGAATTAGGGAGTTATCTACTAAGCGGCTGCAAGATGCAGCCACAGCAAGAATAGGATCGGAGTTTCATTCATTCGAATGAAATTCCGATCCGAATAAAGTGCCGAATTGCGTTCTAAAAGAAACGAACATACTGTTCTCATTCAGTTAGAACGCAATTCGGCAGTTTTAGCTAAAATGACAGGAAGCATCGCGAGATCACAGAGGAAAGCTAGGGATCATGGGAAAATTGCTCTGACCAGCTGAAATGAAGCACACTTTGCTCCTCCGCTGGTCAGAGCTGGTCAAGCGGAGGAATCCTCCATAAGGCAAAGAGTCCCTACTTTGTCTTATGATTTTAAAGAAAACTAAAGAAGACAGGAAGAAAAGAATAACAGATCCCGAGAGAGGGGGAGGAGAGGAAGAGATTGAGGAAAGGTAAGTTCGGCATGACAGTGCCGCTTTAAGCTGTAGTTGTTCTGGTGACTATAGTGTCCCTTTAATGTAGTTGTTCTGGTACATTCCGGCATTTTACTGCAAACACTGCCTTTTCAGAGAAAAGGCAGTGTTTACATTGCCCCTAGTGACACCTCCAAGTGGCCACTCCTTGGATGGCCAGTGGAGGTGCTTCCTGACTCAGTGCGTCTCCACGCACCGCATGGTGATGCTGAATTTTCCTCATAGAGATGCATTGATATATATATATATAGATATATATATATATATATATATACACACATTGACAGGTACTAGTAGTC